AAAAAAAGAAAGATCGCCTTTCACAAATGAAAATTAGAAGAATTTTCAGCACGTACCATTTTGATCGTTCCTTTCTCTACTCTTCTGATACCAACCACTCGCTCGTCAGGCCTGGGGACAAGGATAGTTCCCCTCCCGAATGATGAATGTATGTTGTTTATTATTTTATTATATGTCTTATCTTAATGTCTGTATCTCCCCTTCCCCGATTTTATGTGAGCTGCCCTGAGTCCCCTCAGGGAAAAGGGCGGCCTACAAATATTAATAAAATCTCAAAAATCTCAAATCTCAAATTAAGTGAGTTTTGCTCCATTTTATGACCTTTCTTGCCATAGTTGTTAAGTGAATCACTGCACTTGTTAAGTTAGTAACATGGTTGCTAAGTCACTATGGCTTCCCAATTGACTTTGCTTATCAAAAGGTCAGAAAAGGACTCTGCAATCCATCATAAATATGAACCAGAGACCAAGTAACCAAACGTTGATCACATGATCTGGGGGATGCTGGAACAGTCATGTGAAAAGCAGTTCATAAATCACTTTTTTCAGTAGTGTTCTAATTTTAAATGGTCATTAAATGAATGCTTTTAAGTCGACGGCTACCTGTACCTTACCGTTTCCCTCCAATCTGTTCTCACATATTCAAACAAATTATTCAGGAATACAACTGAATTTCACAGAAGGTAGATTTATCAATGGCACCATATAATTGGAACAAGTATGGCAAAAGAAAGCAAACTAGGTACCAACAGTAATAGAGTGCAATTCCCCCCCAAAAAATATTGAGTACCACTTGAACACCGTTATTGACATCATTACCATCAGTCAATTGCAAAGGACAAGTTTACTTGAAATGGCTTACATCCTGCCATAATAACTTTTAACACCATCAAACAACAACATCTCTATCCCATGTCTTTGGGAAGGACATGAAGGTGGATAAAAATACCCAAACCAGTCTAAATATCTGTCTGATTGTGCAATCAACCGTAATGAAGATTTTGTCCATTCCAATGGTATTCGTGTGGTGCTCCAGATGCTTTGGGATTGTACCCAAGGCGCTCTATTACAACAGATACTATCTTTGCTTTCTTTTGTCACAATCACTCTACCTGTATTTGCAGATCCTTATATTTTGCTATTTTCTTCAGTTTTTTTCTCTTCTATTTGGCTGTCTCCAAGTACTGCTAGTTCACTGTCTGGATTTTTTTGACTTACTTATTGACAATTGTTAAATCTGGGATGTTATGTGGCAGGTACTTGTCTGTCCCAGAGCACTTCAGTTTCTTCGTTTGCTATTACTTCTTCTTTACTTCTATTACACCAGTTCTTGCTTGTAGGCAAGTGGTATTTCTTGCAGATATTCCATTGCACTACTGTTGTTACTTTGTCATGCCATTGGGTTTATAACGAGTTGTCTTGCAACAGCTAACTAGGTGGTCACTGTTTCTTCAGCCTCTTTGCAGAGACAGCATTAATTTTCTGTTGCTGTCTTCTCAATTCTTTCACTGTAACAATGCAGCTGAGCTAAGCTGATTATTACTTGAGTTTTATACGTTTAGTGCAAGACAAATACATCATATGATTCAAAATACAGATTTTTGGGATGGTGAAGACTCTTCTACTCACCCATCTTGGGCGGGTACCATCTACTTCTTTGGGTGAAAATGTATCTTTCGGAACAACAGGCTTCATACCAAGCTGCTTACGGATTTTACTGTACAGAAAATATAAGTAAAAGAATGACTTCATGCAAGGTTCTATTAACATGTAAGATTCAAAGAACTATATTTAAAGAGGAACACATAGATGCTGCACAAAAAAATTACATGTTTCTGCATACTTAAAAATCATGGAATCCCTTCTCATATTCCAATTTATTGGTTTACAAAAGTGTCTTTTTTACTCCAGATTGAATCACGTTGGACAAAGTATTTTTCATAAATTAAGTCCAGAAAATAAATGCTAACAACACATAACAGAACTCTCCTCACTTTGTCTCTTCAAGTTCAGTGCTGATGTTCATGAGTTCATTTTCTGTCGTACACTCTGTCGTGCTGGACTCAGTGTTAGAGTATTGGCAGCAGCTGTCTACATCTGTTTTAACTGGGGGTGCTGTTATCTCTTCTCCTTGTACTAGTGCATGTGACAGTTCTTCCTCTGTCACCACTATACAAATCAAACAAAAGCCAAAGAGGGAGCAGTATTACTTATTTATTCTTATACTGTTCATAATTCATCCCACCCCAGAGAACTCTCAAGTTTAGAGCAATAACATTTTTTTAAAAAATAAAAAGTATTCCAAGCAGATTCATCATAGCAATAGCACTTATATAGCACCTCATAGTGCTTTACAGCACTCTCTTGAGCCCCGTCAGGATCAAACTCCAGGCTGTAGGCAGAGTTAGCCTGCATTACTGCACTTTAACCACTGCATCATCAGGGCTCTTGATATTAAATTGAAACCTATAGTATGTTTGATATAGTCCTATATATTATACGATGTATTTATTAGTACAAGAAGAAAGGCTCCTTTGATTATAAAACCTTTAGCTATATACCATTCTTCCAACATAGTTAATTTTGTGAATTGATAACTGTAGAAATTAACTGCTTTTTCATATTTGAAACTAAGAATATATTAAGAATGAATTTATCAAAAATACTTTTCCATTAATAAACGGGTCCCAAATTTTATAAAACTAGAGAAGTAATAAAGTATGAGGAGCCAGAATTTGTTGCCACTTTTTTTTAATTTTCTGAAGTTTAAATATGCATTTCAACAGCAAGTATTTATTTACACAAAGCAAGAATAGCATGGACTTAATTATAAGTTAACTGAAAGAACATTAATATTCTTTTGAGCTCCATATAATGCGAGCTCCGTGGAGTTCATTTTGTCCTGCTCCAAAACTTCCCCACAGGAAAGACTGAAAAAAATTCATTTTCTCTGAGGGTTATAGACGGTAAGCTGGGGAGGGCTGCATACTGCTCAATGGTTGCCCATCAGGATATTAAAGGGATATCTAATTGTTCTTGGCAAGGAGTTGTTTTCATATGAAACAATAAATTAATACCCTCCCATCATTAGTTCAAAGAAATATTAATTCAAAGTTAAATCTCATTTTGACACACAATTCTTAAGTGTTTCACACACTACCACCAAGAAATGTGCTGCTATACACACTCTTATTGTCAAGCTTCTGGAGACTAGGAAGATTACGCAGAACTGTCATTCTGTAGCGATGGTGGTCAGAGCCACAGCAGGGATTCTCAGACATCCAGAGGATTCTCAGGCGGGGCAGTTTTTTCAAGTGGAACAGCTCATGCAGGTTTGAAATACAGTTTCTCCTGAGGTAAAGCTCAGTTAGCTTCTCACACTGGTTAAAAGGTTCCAGACTGTAGATATTATTTGCACTAGAGAAGAAAACAAGGGCAGCATTAACGACTACAATTCTTTGTACAACACCAAAATCTTGGGCAGGTGGATAAATGTGTGTTTGTGCCCTTTCTTATGGTTCCATAGAACATCTGAAACCATGAACAAGAAGAGGAGAAAGAAAAATAGTCAGATTATTACATTTACATTGTCTGTTACATTTTCAACATTTTGAAACCAGAATTATAGCATCAGACTGTACACACTGATATTCAAAATTACCCATTTCCTAAGAGAATACAAGTCTTGAGTGCTATTATTACTGAACCTAGGAGTAGAGATTGGTTCAGTAACTAAAAATGCATTGAAAAAAGAAAGAAAGTGAAAGAAGATAAATCTGGGATACAAAGTACAGAGTTATGATAATGTGCACTTATAGAGAGAGATCAGAGAGGGGTCAAAAATAAATTCCTGAAATGATATGTACATACACACATAGACAGCAAATATATGTGTGTGTGTGTGTGTGTGTGTGTGTGTGTATGTGTGTGTGTTGTGTTGTGTTGTATTTTTGCTGATAAATAAATCAAGGGAGACTAGTATAGATCTATTTCAAGCTATTTAGCTCTCATCAGCTAGCCATACCCTTACTGGGATTTATTTATCAGCAAAAATACAACACAAATGTACAAAAGGCAACAGTAAAAATATTGGGTTTCTGTCGTGATGGACTCTTGTGATGAGCCGATTGACAGAAATGGAAGCAGTTAGCTTCCTCCCATAGTTGGANTCTTTGACAGTAAAATATTCTATGGTAGATATTGCAATATAACCAATTTTTACAAAATTATATGCTGTTTTCGCTTTATAGTTCAGTTCTCAAATGAAAGCAATTCCACTTTTCTGAAAAACATTGCAGTTGGTTGGTATCTGCCCAGTTTTTTCTACTAAACAATTCCTTGCTATCTATATGAGAATATTCAAATATAACAGATGTCTTTTTATTTAATACTTTTACAAATGCTATCTTCTCCACAACCTCTGAATTACTATTATTTTGATGAGCCATAGTTATTTACCACAGTTTGAGCAAAAATTCTGATTCCTATGTAAGTTTGAATAGAGATATTGAAGTCTAACCAATTTTTACAAGATTATATGCTTCCAGAACAAAGTGATGCACAGCGGTACTGGTCAGAGATAACTTTACAATAGTGGTGTCAAACTGGTGACCCATGGGCTAGATGCGGCACGCACAGGCCACACCCACCCAGGTCTGCGAATGGGGAAAACGTCAAGAAATGTGACATGACAGCAACGTGTCACCAGTTTGATACCCGTGGTTTACAATATGCAAGTGTTCATCCTAAAGTCCTGATCATAGGAAGCACTGGCTTTAAAGCATGTGCTAGAGAGGACATATACACACATTTAGTCATAACAAAACCAAAGGACTTAGCATTTTTTTTTTGCATACTTAAAACACTGGATGCCCAATTACTATTGAGGATTGAAACATCAGAATCTGAAAAACTGAACTTTTAGGTGTTACTAGAACATGGTATTTCCTATACATCACTCGGTCACTTAGCTTACAAATATTTTTGCCAGCAGTTTTAATCAAATAGGTGAAGCTGCTCAAAAAAACCCCGGGCACCATTTTCCCACCAACTTAATATTTTTAGACTGAAAAGTAAAATTTATTTTCATGTGTTGTAACATCACCCCATAAATGTTTTAACAGAAGCAAGAAATCCCAAGTTACAAATGGAACCTGTTGCAAACCAAGTTTTAGTAAGGGCCAGATAATCCTATACATCCTGAGATAAACACTGATCTGGATCAGTGTTCTATAAATAATCAGCAAAAAAGTACATAACTTTAAGCACAGTCAATAATCAAAACTATGTTCATATTATAGAAGGAATTTTTACTTATTTCATGGCATAGTGGGTCTCCTGCACTAGACATATTTTGACAGACTAGAGCGGCTAAAGGACCCACTATCTCAAATAATACTGAATTTTGCTCAGCAGAGTTTAATGCTGACAGTGGTGGTGTATCCTCTTCCCCTCCATGAAGCCTTTATTTTTTAGAAGGCTTTAGAAGACTTCATAGACTGAAAGAAACCTTCATATTTATAAGATGTAAATGGACACAGTGGCTAAGACACTGAGGTTGTCGATCAGAAAGGTTGGCAGTTCGGCGGTTCGAATCCCTAATACCATGTAATGGAGTGAGCTTCCGTTACTTGTCCCAGCTTCCGCCAACCTAGCAGGTTGAAAACATGTGAAAATGCAATTAGAAAAAATAGGAACCACCTTTGGTGGGAAGGTAAGAGTGATCCATGTGTCTTTGGTGTTTAGTCATGCCGGCCACATGTCCAGAGAGACTTCTTCAGACAGTGCTTTGTAACAAGATAAGCATCGCCCCTAGAGTCAGGAACAGCTAACACATATGTGCAAGGGGTACCTTTACCTTACCTTTAAGTGGAATGTAAGTGAAACTGAGTTGCAAGGGATATCCCTCCCCCCCCCAATAAATTTCAAGTTACTTAACGGAGGAGAAATGATGACAGCAAAGACTTGGCTTCTAGCTTTTAATTTAAACATTCAATGATTTTCTTTTTATGAATTTTAACTTATGAAATTCTGGTTTTGAGACCAGGATTGTCAAACACTATTTAATGGAGGAGGAAAAGGAAGAGTCATGAAGCTTAGACTTGCTCCAATATTGGGATATTAGGGAAGGCCACCAGGTCTAACCAAGTCAGATATATCACAGGTTTGGTCTTACAAAGGCATGGGTAAACACGTCTAGGCATGATTCTTCCAGCAGGAAGGTACTAGCAAGACATGAAGTACATCCTCTTCCAAATGATAAGTCCTTTTTTTGTCTACAAATAGACATAATCTATACTTGCTTATTTGGAATCTCTGCTGCTAATCATTGTGGAAGGTGGAAGGTGGAATAATAGTTGTAAAATGCAGGCACATAAATTGTAGGTGAAAAAGTTACTGTCAAACATGGTTCTAAGCACATGCAACACAAGATATGCTTGTTTTGTTTTTCTGTACAAAATCATCCATTCTCATGGGAAGTCCAACAATATACAAAGGATCCTAGTAGAGCTAGTGAAATTTTGCTGATCCAGAAACAGTTCCTTGGATGTGCTATCGGTCCTCATGGAGTTCCTTTTTCTGCAAGGCTTGGAGTTTGTTTCCAACTGTTTGATGGATGACTTCTAAAGCCTCTGAATCCAGCTCTTCTAGAAGTAACATGATGGCATTGAGGATATTATTCTGTTAATCAAGGCGACAAAAAAACAAAATCAGAGCAGATCATAGAATTACTGTGCAGATGCTACCTAGTCCTCTTATTATTACTATGAGTAGTCTTTGACTTATGACCACAATTGAGCCCAACATGTCTGTTTCTAAAAGACAATTAAGTGTTTAGAGTGCGCATGTCCCTGGAAGATGGCTGCTGAGTCTTTCGCTCCAGCTCGACTCCTCCGAAAAATGGCTTAA